AAGGGAAGGGAAGGGAAGGGAAGGGAAGGGAAGGGAAGGGAAGGGAAGGGAAGGGAAGGGAAGGGAAGGGAAGGGAAGGGAAGGGAAGGGAAGGCATGGGGTGATGTGTATTTTAATGACTTGCAGCTAAATACTGGAAGTCAGTACGAGACTAAAGGCATTCAGCTCATTACTGAGCTCTTTATTTCTGATTTAAAAACAGGCAAGTTGAATAAACCCTCTCAAGCCTTTCGTTTGTGGACCTGTGGCAGACATCCCTTATGCTTACAGCTCATGTCATCCAACATAAATTTAACCTGTAAAGTCGCTGGATTGGATAGTGAAGTCCTGTTTTTAGAGGTAGATGTTTTGCAGAAAAATGGGTTTTGGTCCCACTGGGAGGGCTGCAAAAAGATAGACCTTGGGAAAATTCTAAATCCATCAGAAAGTATGTTTTATCCACCAATCACTCTCCTCAGATGCACAGTTCACAGTGCTTCACAAGTTCTTGTTTTTGGCCTTCACATCTCTTTCTTTCTCTGCCCCACATTCAGCTGGTGAGTCCAGTTGCCTCAATTTTGCTGATAAGGAAATGTGAGGCAACCAAAAATGTCTTATTTACTCTTGCCAAACACTGAACAGGCTCTTTCCAGTCCAGCTAATACTTTAGAATAAAGGGCTCATTTGCAAGCACATATCCATTCCCATCGAGCTTAACAAGACTGTACATGTGCTTAAAATTCTGCACATACCCAGATATTTTGAGGCATCACCACCCCAGTGCTCAGCTTTTCATAGCACTTAACAAGCTAGGGTTTTTTTACTCTTCTCTTGTAGAATGAATGAATATGAACCATATTCCAACATATTGCCTTGGACATGCTTGTAACCTGGCCTTTTTGTCCCAATGAGCACAGTGCCATAGACAAAACTATCCTATTATAGGACTACTTTCTTTCTTCATTGGCAAGAAACGCAGTATGTAGAAAATTACTAGCACATAAGACCTCAGGCCAAACCAAAAGCATTTACCCAAGAAGAATCTTACTCATATTTTCCCAGCTGCTACAGCTGTTCCTTAGAAGAAAAGTGAGACTTCTTAACAAAAGAAAGTATTCTGCCCTGCAAATGGGTTTTCAGAACATCTCCCCACACCACACCCTCTTCCAGTCAGTGGGGAGTACAAAGCCAGTTCCAAGGACTCAAAGGTGAGTCCTTTGAGTCAAAATCCTCTGGTCATAAATTTTTACTGCTGAAGTCCTAGATTTCTGGACAAAGGTCAGTGGGGAGACACATTTGGCCAGAGTCCTCACCATTTCAAAGCACAAGAAAATTCTTACTCAAATAGTGAGATTTATGAGCTGTGTGCCTCTGCTTTGAAAAGTGAAAAGGGGACTGACCTGTGCTAGAACACCAAGTTAGAGTTTGGCAAGACCTTTCACTTCAATTTTTTCATCTGTCAGACATACCTAAGTGTGAGCAATGTCCATCTTAAGGGTTTTTTGCAGACATTCAGGTAACTAATTTAGTGAGGCTATAGGATTCTGGATGACAAACTAAGGATGACATTTCTAAGGAAATGTGTACAAGCTAGGGGAAAAAAAAATAATCCCTCTCCCAAAAAGCTTTAATCTGTTCAATTTCTGGGAAGTATGCAAAACTCTTAAATGCAGTGTGCAGCTATCAAACTACAAGAGAGCTTGTGCAAACTTTGCAGCTAAGCGTCTTTCCATGACCATATGTCTTTCCATGAAAATGTATATTGTTTGAATCAGTAAAAAAAAAAAAAAAAAAAGGAGAAATGAAAGACAAAGAGACAGAAAGGTCAGTGACTGATAAATCTTTAATATAAAAATTGTACAAGAATTTTGATACAAATTACAAGAGGTATTTGGACAAAGTATGAGTAAAACTCCATTTATATCCCCAAAACCTTATGCATTTTATGCAAAAGACATACTGTAGGACAGTTACAGTACAGAAAATACAAGAAAAGAAATGTCAAATTAAAAACAGGATTTTCAATTCCCTCAGACTACAAATGGAAAAAACTTGTTTAGAGTACATACAATATTTATGAAGCTACCAATGTACGATTATTAGATCAACATGATGCAGTTTTTTGTATCCCCTTGTACAGCTATATTCTACAGTGCATGCTTTGGTTCTGCAGGCAGGACAGCAGAGCATTCACGTTTTGTTCACGTTGAGATCAAACAGTGAAAATGAAAAGCCTCCTCTATTCCAAACAGAGAAGGGCCTTTGTAAAAATGTCCATCAAGCCTTGACTGCGCACTTTCCTATGCCTGTCGGGGGAACACCAGGAACACGTCTTGACAAAGTCCACCAGAAGAAGTCTAGCTTTGCAAAACAGCTGCAATCTTGCCATTCTGTATGCATCAGCCCCTTTGCCGCTGTTGGTGCATCACAGGGTGTCACGGGGGTTGCAGCTGGGCTGTGAGAGCCCTCCCAGGCCTGCTGAGAAAGGGGCTTCCAGGCTTTATGCCTCTGTGACTGAATACACTGCCAGCCCCCTAAGAACCCTCAAATACATGAAGGTTCAAATCCAGTTTATCTCCGTTTACATCTCCACGTGAACCCCCAGTCAGATTTCCATCTTTCCATTTCAGGAGAACTGAAACACAGCAGATAGCTACATAGCAAATCACCATGTTTGACCTTCTCAGTTAAAAGCTGTTAAAGGAACAACTGTGCCAGTGAGCAAGAGCCTTCAGTCAAACAATGAAACTCTAAACCCCTTTGACCACAGGGGTAAGCCCCCTACAGTGAGTTATTCGTAGGGACAAACTGCAGTACTCTGCTTGTGATAAGTAAAAGTGTGTAGAACTTCAGCCAGGGTAAATTTTGAATGTGTTCAGGGTTCAGATCAACCTATTTGTGCACCTATCACACATACATTGCACTGGAACACAGGTCACTCTTATAGACTGGAGGAGAGGCAGAAGGATGAACTGAGAACACAAATGCTGCTCATCAAAAAACAGCCACATTCTGAGAAAGGAGCCCCATATGACATAGGAACCAAAGTGTGCACAAGCAGCATGCTGAATTTCATATTTATAAATAGCTAAATGAGATACACAAAAACAACATTGGCCATTTTATTAATTTTGCCAGTTTCCAAAAGGTGACCATTTTCACAGATGGAATGCATAAAACTATCCAAAATGAAGAACACCAGGAGGATGTGTTACTTTTCTGAGAGAATTTGAATGAGACACTCTCTTGGCATAAGAGAAGAAGGGGTGGAGACAGGTGAAGAAAATGGGAAAATTAAGACAATGGTTGAAGATTGTACAAGGGTTTGTTAAAAAATAAAGTTAAAAAAAAATCCAAATGTAAAAATATAGTTGAAAAATAATTAATAAATCAGCCTTAGTTTGTACAGCTTAAGTGGCCCTATTTACTCCATAGCTCATCGGGTAAACTAAGAACAACATCCCTAGAATCACAATTCATGTGGCTTCTGTACCATTTAGCAGTGGTGATGGGGTGGAGGGAAGCATTCTGCCCCATCAGTACAGGAGAAGGGGTGGGGGGACGGGAATGTAGACCATGTGACAACATCTTGAGCTGGATGTGATGATTGCATAATGCTCCCCCGCTCAGGTACAGACACACGCATGCACAACTGCCACTGGTGCTCCAGAGCCACTGTTCATAGCCTCCTCCATTTCGTGACAGAAGTGGACAGGTTGTGATTAACTATTGATGAGTTTGCCATCCTAACTGTGCATTATCCTCTGATTATTCTCAACCTTTTGTTTGACAATGGATGCCTTATAAAATCTTTATGCATCACTTAGCTACTCTTGCTCTCTCTTTCTTCTCTAGAAATATAATTGCCCTGGATGCTTTTCTTCATTTTTCTAAGATATTTGTCTCCAAAGGTTTGAAGGGAGCAGTATACAAAATCTGTAGAATACCAGAAAAAACCTCTCTACACATTAGATATTTGCTCACTCATGCTTCTTGTGCTTTTAAGTGCATGAGGAAATATATATATCTATGTAATGATGAAAATGATATAATTTTGCTCACTTGTAGTCTTCATTTTAAGACTCGTTGTTCTAACACTGTGTTTGTTTCTCCTTCTCTGTCTGTCACACTCACACTCACATACATACACACACACATGAAGTACACAAATAGTTTCTTCAATCAGAAAGTTCTCAGATTCCACAAACAGTCTCAGAAATGGTACACCAAGAAAGGCTACCCAAGCTCATCATTGCAGGTCAGCTCATCCAGCTGCTTCCACCTCCGTCAGTGCCATGTACACATGGAGTTGACAGGGGAACAGAGTCTGGGCTCAGCCTTTAGACTTCTGATACAAACAGGCCTCAGGAATTTGTCTGCTGGTTTCACCCTTGTAGCTTCTGATGAACTCGGAAGGAAAAAGAGGGAAAAGATCAGTGACCTTTGACTGGTAAAAGATCTCAGCATATTTATAGTGGGCACCATCACCTCTGTTGCAGTAAACATCAAATTACCACATCGTGCTGGAGACAGCATTAGCATCTAGAACCAGCAAAGAGGAGTTGCAGCCCACCAGTGTCATGAATCAATCCAAAGATATGTTCAGGTCTCCTCGTCTTGGGCTTTGCCTGAAACCTGTCTTTGACTACTGATCCTGCAAGGAAAGCACGCTCCAGCAGCTCCTCTGCCTACTTGAATTTTCAACTGCTATTCAGCAATCTGTCAGCACATAGTATAAAGGAAGGGGAGTGGCTGGAGCCAGGTATGCTGGCCTTCATGCACTTACACAGCACATGGTCTCAAGTTACTTCACTATAAAACTCTCTCTCTTCTGACAGCCCCATCTGAGAAGCACTTCTGGAGCCTGTATTTTTTGCAGTGTTCTTGTAAATTAAAGGATAAATCAGAAAAACTTCCTCCTCGTATGAGGACAGCAGATTGTATCTCAGATATGTTTTTCTAACAGAGGTTCACACTGACCTCAGCAGGAGATGTTTCTATCACAGCAGAATAGGATAGCTGGAATTGGCATTCACTATAGGAATGCAAGAGGATAATATTGCTCTCGCATTGACGGGCAGGCTAAACCAGTAAAAAAAAAAAAAAAAAGAAATTGCACATCCTATTTGGCACTGAACCTATGAAGTAAGATGTAGCAAATTCACATGACTATTTCTAGCAGGCACAGTATGGCTTATGCCAATACAAAGCAATTAGTTGCTACATAAGCAGACAAAAGTGCCATTACAGACAGTATTTCTCAGCTGACCTTTTGCTAAGAAGCCATCTTGTTACTGTCTGCCTGATAGCTCGATAGAGCAGCCACTGGCAGCCTTGTGCTTCCCAAAGACAAATCAAAGTGCTCCAGATGGGACTTCCTTTTGCTCACTGTAGATGTGTGTGTGTGTGTGTGTGGGGGGGGTGTATGTCAAGAAATGGGAAGGGAAAGCCTGGTTCTTACACTCAATTTCGCCTTCACAAGGGATAAACAGGCAATTACACATCCTTTTATATTTGATGGCCAAGTGCTGAACTTGAAAGCACACTATTAGTTTGTGTCCCTTCAGGGCCAGTGCAATAAGTAGCCAGGAGAGCTGGGGCTAAGCAAGAGAGGGTGTTGTCTGCTGTTAGTGTGACAGTCATGTCAGCAGCATTCACATTACTGGAAGGTAATAAAGTGACAAGTAAGTTATTAGAAAGATATGAGGTGAAATTGAACTGAAGCTTCTTTCTGCTCAGCTCAGTTTTTTTCCTGCTTTGTAATGGGCCGCTATTCGTTACAAACCAAGCCTTGTCTTGAGATCTTATATAAAAAAAGAAATATTTATTCTTTGCAGGAAAGGTCACATGAATTTACAACATTACACTTTAAAGGAGAGGAATGGGAAAATAGTTTCATGACAACTACAGCTGCTATTAAAAAAAACACAGTGTCATCATAATGAACAATAATACTGGCAAAAGTCAGAGGACTTGTCAAAAACATGTCCATTTTTTAACCCTTTGGTGGTCCAGAACCATTTTCCTTTAAGTGTCAGTGCCAAACATAACAGCAACAGTATCGGGATATACATGATCAATACCTCAATCAAAAAATCAAAGTTGTCATTCAACATCATGACTTGAAGAGAGAAAACAAGCCTGGTTATCTACAGACTCAAGATAATATTACTTACTCTACTTATGTAAAATAGTTGCTGCTTTACTCTGTTACAGCCATTTTAAAGGCAGTGATAATGCTGCAACGTTGGCAAGAAGAGACAGAAACCATGGGACTGGAACAGACATGTACTTGGGCAAACATGTGGTTGAAAGGTTCAGTCCATCATATGATATTGCTCTGTTCATGAAATAAAAATAGGTATGGAAAAGAGTTCCTTTTATGTCCCTACAGGACAGGAAAAAAAAGCCCAACTCATCATGTGGCAACTGCAGGATACACTGATGCTTATCTAGCAAAGTGACTACAGTCACTGTTTTGTTGAGTCACTATAGCAGCAAAGTCCTTTTCTTATGTCGCTATATAAGAAAAAAACAAAACTAAGAAGGAACTGAAAATACCAGCTGCCATCATGTCTGCCACTCCCCTTTTCCCCAAAGAGAACTGCTGCCTCCTTGCCCTTAGCACTGACACCTTTGCTTCTCTTTTGAAATAAAGAGTTCTGTTAACCCAAAGAGCGAAGTGATAAAAACATTCTGGGGGCAGAAAAAGTAAGTTCTGTTCACATAAGTGGCACAAAAAATTTAAAGAAGCATGTGCGCACTCCTAGACCAAGCACTTTCTCTCTCTTATTCTTTTTCCTGCCACCAATGTTACTGAGAAAATGTGCTGCAGAATCTGAGTACAAATACATTTCTGAAAAGATGCCTTATTTTCTGATGGCAGCTGACATCCTTAAGTGAGAAATGGGTCCATACCACGCACTTTGATTTTAAAATATCATACACATTGAAGGAGAAATTTTTGGAACTAAATCTTGAAAATGGGTTCTATTTCTAGAACAGATCAGACCTTGAACCATCCATCATGTTTCTGAGCTTTCATGATACCCACAGAGCTCTATTAGTTGTACTAGAGCAGATGAGTTGAGGTACTGACCTCCCCTGGCAGCTACTTCACTGTTTAGGACCTGACTCTACTAGTTTTCTGAAACAGTTCCTTTTTTGGGGATGGAATGGGAAACGCATAGATGATGGAAAACTTATAAACTTGTGGAACTGGCAGAGAAAGTACACTTTCATTTCCACATTAGAAGGAAGGGAAGGAAGGAGGAAAGGAAGGAAGGAAGGAAGGAAGGAAGGAAGGAAGGAAGGAAGGAAGGAAGGAAGGAAGGAAGGAAGGAAGGAAGGAAGGAAGGAAGGAAGGAAGGAAATACACTGAAGTTTAGTCACAACAAATATGGTGCACAATTTCTGCTGTGTAAAGTATCTACGGATCCCTAGTAACATACAAATTTTACAAGCTCAGTCATGAAAAGCCTTTGAGAGTTCTTTAAGAGCAGTGTCCACGTGCTTTTAGGCTTTTTAATCTATATGTTCTACATTTTGTCAAACTGAGTTGTGACTTAGTAACAGAGTGCTTGTACCTTTTGTGCACGACTACAGTGTCACAACAGAGTTAACTGCAGTTTAAAAGACAAAGTTAAAACTCAGCCATAATAAAATGTACCTGGTTGAGATATAGCTCAGAAAAACTGACTAAATATTATAAGGTGTGCAAAAATATGTATGAGTTAAATTAGCTCTTTACTAATACCAGCTAATTAGTCCTCACAGGAGCATACTTATGGGCAAACCCCATGATTTCCATTCTTGTCCTTTGACTGCTGGTTTTACTTCCAAATTGTCATACAGGTTTTCAAAAGATACCTAGCAATTAACCATTATTATTTCCTGAAACACCACCCCCCAATGAAAAGAAAAATCCTAAGCAACCTCCAGACAAGTAGTTCTGTTTCTAAAGGAGGTTCAGTACAGTTATTTCCCAATTGCAGACAAAGCTTTTTGATATTTACAGAAAAATACAACTACCTTGAATAAACAAAACAGCGAAACAATGTGGAAAGAGTGATGCCAATAACTACAGGAACTGAAAAAGAAGGAACTAATTCCATGTAAAGTGAAGAGTCTCTTCCTCAAAGTTGGTCTAGTTTTTGTTAAATGGTTTAGACTGACAGGTTTGGAAACTAAAGGGATAGCTACAGGTTTGTGATAACACAAGTAATTGCACAATACTTGTCATCACACCGCTACAGTCATGTCCTGTGCTGAACAGATGAGATGTTTGGTCATTAATCTTATTGCAGTCTGGGTCACTGCTGAGATCACTCAAAAATGCTACTTTCTGTCAGAAAAACACAGCCCTTTTAAGAATTTTTCAGATAATGTCAGATGATACAAGTTCCACCACAGGGACAATTCTGATAAACACAGATTCTCATAGAGATGCATGGTAAACAAGAAGGAGGAAAATGCCATTCAATTCAATGTAAGTGTATGTGCTTTTCTAAAACAAAGACTGTTCCTACATCAGTATCACTAGCACTGAAGAAACTACTTGATTCGCCTAGAAATAACAGTGAGTAATATTCTGTCCCTAAGACAGAGATGATGACTTAAGTAAAATCTGAATGAAGTTAAGAGTAGGTGTGCTGAGCTTCTAACAGGTTTTGGAGGTTTTTCCCTGCTTCTTTATTTTTTAGAATGTGTAGTTTCATTATGGTAATAAACAGATTTTTTTTTTTAATTTCAGTAATCTACTGAATTTATCTAGTGATGATGTTTAAGTTTCCAAACAAGTTTACCAAAACCATTTGAACTCTAACAGAAACAGAGTGAAATGAGAATGATGAACAGTGATTCATTAAGCGGGAATTATTTATATACCTCAAATGTGTTTTTCATTAAAAATGCTATTTATTTATACCGTACATACTACAAAACAGTGGGTTTTTTTCTGTATATATAATTCATTTTTTGTTATTTTGTTTTTCAGACTTTCCATATTACTTGTACCTAATAGCCTGGGAGGAGACATGAGAGTGCAGTACAGACAACACTACAAAGGTTCATATGTCTTGGAAGAATGCATCCTTACTGTTCTAATTTCCCTTTCTCACAAACACACTGAGCTTGCACAACATAAAACAAAGCAAAGCAGATCTCTCCACTCAATTTAATAAGGCAAAGTAGTTAAAATGTTGAAGAAAATAAAAAAAAGATGAAAGAAAAGTGTCAGTGAAACAGCTTGGTGTTTTGCTATAAAGTTTCTTTTTGTTAAACCAGAAGGTAAATTTTCTTTATAATTTCTGTAGGATCCACAAATGTTTTCAGGGCTTCATCAGTGTACAGAATCAAAAATTATCAGAGGCTTGTAACCCATAGGAACATAGTGAAAATTCATTTAGAACAATTTTTTCTTTTATTTTCTACAACTGGAAATACTGATTTATTAGATATTGATCCCTACTTTTGGAAACAAAAATACTGAAATGAATAAGAAGTACCAAAAAAAGGAAATCCATATTAAGAGTTTCCTCTAGAAAACATAACAGGAGTTAAGTACTCAAGTGGACATAAAAAATAAGAATAATCAAAATGCACAGCAAAACAAAACAGCAACAAGCTGAAACAATGCAACATTTCTGACTCTTGGCTAAGAAGAATAACGTTCTCAGTAAATACAGAAAAGGAACACATTCTCACTGAAGGAATATTTTATTGTATGCTGAAATATCCCTTGGGTTTTTGTTTGTTTATTTTTCATTTTGCTTTTGTTATTGTTATTGGTTTTGTAAAGAAAAGAGTCTACAACACACATCCTAATGGCTTTGGCTGTAGACTGAACTTATGCAAATACCATCACTCATTCAGAATGTTGTGGTAACTCAGGCTGCCAGTGTGGTTTTCTGGCTCAAGCAACACGTGTGAACACCAGAAACAAAAAAGATTCAGAGGGCACCCTCTCTTTTTCTCTGCCTTTCTCAGCTGCTTGCTCCTTCTCTGTCTCCTATTCATGCTTGCTGTCTTGCTCACAATCTTTCTTGGACTTTTGTTTTTTTCTGACAAATCATGCGAGTGAAACACAAAACATTTACACAACTAGACATCCTTTTTTTCTGGCCTCTAATTTTATCCAAAGGGAAAGTAACCCAATAAAAAGTCCAGCTTATGTTTTCAGAGCTACTAAGTGCTTCTGCCATTAATTTCTTTTGATTGCTTCTATAAAACATGCCTTAATCATACTACAGCACTTTCCATTGCAAAAAAGACAACTTTACAGAACAACATAGTTAACATTATTTCCCTGTTCCTTTTGGTTTTTCTTTTAAACACCACAAAAATCCAGGCTATAATAAGAAGCACACAAAATTATATTCATCTTTGTTCTGTGACAAGTAGTATCAGCATTTATATCCCCAAATACTATGCATGTTTGAAAAAAAAAGTTTCTACTGGTTCACATGACACAATTCTGTTTGGTTTTTTTTCTTTTATGCAACGCAGTATATAAGGAATAAGGATGCACTATTGTTTCTAGTAACAATTGGCACTTGAAAAAAGCACCAAGAATTCTGTATTTCACTTTACCCCTTTTCCCTCCCCAGTACTTTTTTCGTGTAGTCCAAAAACTACAACTGTGGTAATGGAGAATAACTACATTTTCTTTTTTTCAAAACGTGTGCAAAGTTGGCACTTTTGTATTAACACTAAACACTAATACTCTTTGTTTGGCATTCATGCCCTCATACTGACCAGATCGCTTTATCTAAGTGTATTTTTTAAAGACACTTACTGAAAATATGGCAATAGTTTAAAAAAAAAAAGCATGGATATTATTACACATCCCCTTGTAGTGTACGAAAAAGTGCATGACTGGAATTATGTAATAGTACAAGACAAAAAAATCTGTATCAAATCAGGTACTGTAAAGCATGCCAGCACCTCTGTAGTACTTATATCTAGCAGGTAGTTAAAACAAGACTGTGGTTCTTTTAAAAATGTGCATTAAAGCTAACATAAATGAGTAGAACTAACCAGCAAACTATTTTTCCTGCTTATCTAACAGCTGAATGTAACTGTAAAAATTAAGCAAAAAAAAATAGAGTTAAACCACCATCAATACAATTGTTTTACATCATAGGCCTGTCAAGGCTCAATATATATATACAAGTGTAACAGCCATGCTTAGTAGAATGTTATCCCCAATGCTTAGAAGACACAAATACAACTAAGTAGATTGTTTTTTCTTTCTCTTTTTGTTTGTTTGCAATTTTTTTGTGTGTTTTTGTTTTGGGGGGGTTAGTGTTTTTTGTTTTTTTTTTTCTTTTCAGGCAAAAGTCACAGGTAGGACAAACTGTCTCTAGAGATGACCAAAGAACATTCTAACAGAACTAGGGACAACTGCAAGTTTTCTGTGGCTTTGGGTTTTTTGTTTTTGTTCGCTTTTTTTCTCCATGAAGGACCTCTTCTCCCAAATTAAAGGTCCCACCTTTTTGTTTCTATCAAAAAAAAAAAAAAAAAAAAGGGAAAACAAACCCCAACAACCAACAAAGGGGGAAAAGCACCTGGTGTTTCTTTTGTTAAAAAAGAAAAGAAAAAGATTATATATATACTTATGTATATATATATATGTATATATATATATATATATATATACACACACACATACATATAAAGGGAGACTGTATATGGCAGTTCAGATATAGTGGGCCCTCTCTGAGAGCTGGCATTATGCTGTGTCCATCCTCGAACTAATCTACTGATGTGAAGGGAATGTTTTTATGCAGATTGGGGTTCTGACTGTGCCGGTTTCGGCTACGAACAGAGGAGAACATCATGTTGCACCCAGGGACTTTACATTTGTGCATTTCTCGCAAGTGCACTGTTTTATAGTGCACTCTGAGGGTTCCCTTGTTGCTGTACATTTTGTGGCAAATGTTACACATTATCCCACCGTTGCTCACCGAAACACTGTTGAACATGAGGGATCCTGGGACATCGGTGCCCATACCTACAGCTAAGGCAGGGGCATCTGCTTTGTGGGCAGATTCCCCGCTGTCACTCGCTCCATCGATGTCATCCAGGAGAATACCCTCATCACTTCCTGCATCAGATTCTCTTGAGGAATGGATACTGCTGCTGGACTGGATGCTGGAGGTGGTGCTCAGGTCTAGGACCATATAGTCTTCCGCCATGCCCCTGCCATACCCATTCATATGGGAATCCTCAGTACCAGCAGGTGAGGAGGTGTCTTCCCTTATGTCAAGCCCCATCTGATGCTGAGCGCCATATATCTTCACCAAAAATTCATCGCGGAGGTCCTTACTAAGAGAAGGCTGTGAAGTGTCCAAGCCCATGTCATCCAGTTCTTTGGTCAACAGTTTACGGTGCAGGTTTATGTTAGCACTGTGTCTGGGAAAGAAAGAGGGAAGGGAGAGAAGGAAAAATGTACAGTATTTTTGATTAAACATACAGTCATTAAACATCAAATACAAATTCTGATTTAGCAATAATTTATCATGAAAATATCCCCTATTCATGTTTCTTGCAGATTTCAGCCTTGTTATAAGTGAACAAATTGCAACATAAAAACTAAACAAAACAAGCAATTTACCCTCCCCATATTTTCTTTTCAGCTGCTGCTCCTCAACATTAGTCCCCAGCAGCAGCTACAGCCCTTTTATTTGATATTTACAAAATAATAAACTGCACTAGGAGAAAATGCAAAATGCACTTCTTGGCTCCTGAATCCCTGCTGACCTTCCTAAAAGCCTTGCTTCAAGAGAAAAAAATATTAATATACAGAATAGCTGTGCGTGTTTCTATCTGTGTCTAAATCCGGATCTGTATCTATATATATTTATATATACATACATATAAATATATCTTTATATATATATCAACTCACATAAATCTGGAAGTGAAATATAGGAAAAGAATAAAATAAAAGGTAACTGACTGATACATAGTCAGAGGTCCCAATTCTGCTAATTTAATTATGCTATAAAGGGATTCAGAATTGCGCCAATCCAAGATGGAGAACACTTGAAGGGTTTAAGAGAACAAGTCTCTGAAATCTACATGTAAGTTTCTGAAAATCTTAACCAAAGTCAGTGGTTCCATCCTTCTGGGTACGCACTGACACTTTTCCCTGTACTGTGTCTGATGCAGTGTTGACTGACGCAAGCAGTGTAATGTTCAGTAAAAAAACCAAACTACTAATGGCAGTGAGAATTTTGCCCCAAATCAATCAAAAAATTAAGCATGAGTTTTGGTTTAGGTATTTGCTGAGGTCACTGCAGATGCTCAAGAAACACTGGAAAACTGTTATTGATGGAAGTGGTCTTTGGATCAGATCCCAAAAGATGCAAATTAAAATATTCTCAAACATTTTACAGGAGCTGGGCCTTTGTTCTCAAGAAATAAAGCTCTACATTTGGAAGCATTGTAAGATTTTGGGTTAGTAGCTTCTAAAAATAGCCCATTATTTTAAATACTGCATTCTACTCTCCACTTTTGACATTGGCTTTATTCATTCATTGCAGTAGAACATCACTGATTTGCAGTAGTGAAAAACAGCATTTACTGAATTAACAGTGCAACCAACAAAAAAGACAGACTTCAAAGACCTCTGACCACGGAACATGCTTGTTTTGTTGAAGCGCTTAAGAATAAGAAATGTGTGTAAAGTTTTCAGTATTAGAAAACTTTAGGGTTCAGTTTTTGGAATGTGCAGCATTGCTGAGGAAATGACGATTTTTCGTGACAATTTTTTATTCTTTGGAGGGTGACTGGATTTTCAGACCAGCAAAAAAAAGAATTAGCGAAGTTCTACTGCATAACATTCTGTGCAAGCTGAGGACCCAAACCCGCAATTTACAACATGCAGACTCACCAGTTTGTCTGCCCATTATAAATTGCAGATGAGAGACCAAATGTAGGAGGGAAAAGAAAGGGGGGGTGGGATGGGGACAGGGCGGGGAGAGAGAGAGAAAGAGAGAATTTTAACATAGGAATAGTTTAATTTTCAAAAAAGTACTAAGTATAAAACTGGCATGGGAAGACATAACAATGATCAAATATTTTACAGACATTCAGATCCTATAGTAACAAAAAAAGGGAGAAGAGGAACAATAGCTACTAGCAATATTTCCTTATTGGAAGCTTTTATTTTAAGAAACCCTTTGAAACATACCTCTCAACCAGGTAGTTAAGTCCCAAACATGGTACAGCAATACAACGCAGATAAATAAAGAAAATGCAAATGTAGGAAGATTAAATTGATGTGGAGTTAATTTCTGTAATTTTCTATTACTTACTTTGTGATTCATCTATCTGTTGCACATAACTTACGGGAATAAATAAAGAAAACAGCAATAGAAGTGATCTGTCCCACTCACCTGCAAATGCAGGTAACTGTTATCTGACTTAACACTGACATGCACTTAATTGAATTATGTCTGCTTGGGATGCAATTATTCCAGTAAGAGGGTGGTCTAGAATGGAAAATTTCTCTCCTAATGAGAGAGAGTTGAGAGGTATGGGCAAGGGTGGAAAAAAGTGGAGAGCATTTCTTGCTTTTCTCCCACATGGGAAATACTCTTTTTATGCAAGCAAGTATAGCACTATTGTTTTTTTGAGGTGTAGAAGTGTAATTATGCATATCCCCACACTGCACTTAGGAAGGCTGAGCTTACCTTGTGATAAGATCAGCTTTCTAATCTTTTGCTAAATTGAGATCACAAAAGAGAGAGAGAGAGAGAAGAGAGGAGAAAAGAGAAAGAAAGGGGGAGGGGGAGGAGAGAGAGAGAGAGAACAAATTCACATTCCAATCCAGACAAATCTGGTTAAAAAAATAATCTGAAACCAATAAAACAGACTTTAAAAAAAGTCTTGACTGTGAAACTATTGTTGTCAGTTGTAGTATCACTTATACTGCTGTCCTGATGGATACTGACTCAATCACACTAGATGGAAAACATAAAGCAAATTAATCAAAGCATATTCAGAGCATCCCCATTATCATCCACAAATGAGTTCTTAACAGATGCATGCAGTGTGCACATACACGAATGATAAACAGTAGTCCTGATGGTCTCTTGCCTTCTTAGTGTCAGATGTTATGTAGCTCCACATGAAGTTGCTAACTGCAGTACAAGAAATGTTTACTGTGAAGGCCTGTCCACACTGACCAGTGTTATTAAATGGCCATACAAGCACATTTGTGCTTATCATCTCAAGGATAACTGTGAACTATTCATAACATATTCATGTGTTTACTAATGATTTCTCCCCCTCTCTCCTCTCCTCACTCCTGTGGTATGGGAATTTGTTGCAGCATAGAAGCTAGTCAGGCTACCTGTAACTGTGCTGACATGCATTCATGCTTACTATTTGCTTGGTTTGCTGCTGAGAAAAACAGCAGTCAGGCATGCAGTGAAAATAACTTCAGCATTCACTGAACAGAGAGATAAGAACAAATCGCCACATTAAAGAGGGGCCACTGAGCCCCAGATAGACAGAGGTCATTCTAAGGAAGACCAGTGTAAGGATGCAATCCCTGCTGATGCTCTGATAAGAAGAGAGGCCTCCCTTATTCAATTCTCACTTACAGCAGTAACAATCAGTAATCTAGTTAAAGTATGTACCAGCTCATAATATCTGTCAGGCAAACGATGTGCAGAAATGTGCGGACCAGTTCTGGCACTCTGCTCAGTAGTGTCCCTTTTCCGCTGTCAGCACTACTGTTGGATTCTCCTAATATAATTACATTGACTTTTATTCAATTAAGTGCCATTCCCAGCCTTAAAAAGAAGGTACTTTATCAATTGATTCAGGTGTAATGTAATAATAAAGATGAACTCATGGTAGTGCATTAGCTCTGCTCTTCATAACTTCTGAACATAGGTTCATTCATAGCAGTCGATTTCCATTATGCAACCACAGTTCAAAAGAATTGATTCTTTTACTTTCATTTCTTAATCTATTTCACTTGTGTTTAATAATGTTCCTAAATATTATATGTGAAAACATTCTGGTAGGGATGGGAGGAACAAATTGTAAAAAAAATTCACGTATTTGGATACTGAAGTTTTGAAATCTTATAGCAAAACTGAAGTCCCAGACCCCTTTCTCCATACCAAAGTGAGATACTCCATCCTAATCCAACTCTTTCTCCCCTGCTTTGTCACTCCCAAAGCCTGGAAGTCCCCTACCAGCCCCCAGCCACTGCTAACCACTCTGTCATCTTGTTCATCTGGTCCTCCCCACAGCACCTGCAGTTTTTTTGCTTCAGCTGTTCTGCTCCCTGATGTGATTTACAATGCTGCTTACCCCTTCCTCCTCCAGATACTGCTCCCAGGCATGTGTAAACAATGGTCCCTGAGTAAGCTGAGGCACAGCTTGGGCAGAGTAATTTATGCCAGAGCATGAAAATTGCCATCAAATAGGCAGAAAATACTGAAACAAAATATGCCAAAACCAGCTGAGCTTCAATGTGCCATGGCTTCATTATTCCGCATGCCTGAGCTAGGCAATTTAAGGACATATCTGGTGTCCTTTGCACTTCACTTCATAGAATCATAGAGTCATAGAATAGATTGGGTTAGAAAAGACCTCCAAGATCATCAAGTCCAACCCCTGATCCAAATCCAATTACTATATCATGGCACTTGTTGCTGTATCTGCAGGGAAAAGAACTTAAAGAACATAAATGATTGGTGGAGGTATATATATGTGTGTGACAAAATGAATTATTTGACCTAATTAAATCCTTTGAATGACTCTGGACATCTTAGACTGCTTATTTGTACATAAACTAACAAAATAGCATTTCATGCTCCTGGGAGTGGGAATGTTGCTTAAAGACAACTGGTGATTGAAGTCTTCCAGACAGGAATATGAGATCAAATGAGTTAAGCTAAAGGCATATCTCAGTCGGCTCCAGTTACCATACCTACGCCATCCTATGCAACAAGGGATGGTGAAGAGGGTGACTTCTGAGAACACTAGGTGTGCCATAGAATGTCCAAACATCAGTTTAGCACTGTACTAGATGCCATGTATCCTTAAAAATAAGTATTTTTCCAAGATGTTTTCAAATATAGCTTATTGTGGAAAGGATGTTTTAGCAAATTCTCTTTATTTTAGGACCCAGAATCCCTGACTTTTTCACATAATTGTCTTTCTTCTTTCAAGTTACTATTCATGAACTAGACATATAGTGGGCAAAAGTGTGTGCAAAGTCCCCACTAGAGTGAATTCAGCCTTAAGAATGGATCAGTGCTGCTGTAAGCATGATGATGATAATGATGATATATGTGAAATCTGTGTTTGTGGTGAAGTGTCAATGGTATCCCACCTTCCAGTTCACCACTGCTCTTTGAGATACAAGTTTTGGTAGCAGTGCAATG